TAGCCACTCAAACTCTGAGGATCTTTTTGAAGCAGCTTATAACCAATTTGAACCAGAATATATTGTAACTGTTGCCTGAGTAGGGTTTAAAATCCATTTTTTGTACTTTATTATCTCCTTGTTTCAGTATAAACAAATACAACTATTCACCTGAGTAAGGTAGGTGCTTGTTACTCAATGTGCTGATTATTTTGTAAGCAAAAAATATATCGATTCTATAGAATGATTTAAGAAATCCTATCCACACACACACACACACACACAAAAAAAGCAATGAATTCAACAGAAGTAAAATAAGTTGTCACTTTCTAATGATGCATACATGACAGTGTAAATGTGTAAGTATGTACTAACAAAATATGTAACAAAATTGCAAATTTTGATTTTGAAACAAATCATATGATTCACCCAAAGATTTCAAGTTGATCTGCTGGCATAGAGTGAGATGTCCCATGTAGGAATTACCTACCATGAGGGAAATTATGTAAAAAAAGAAGTAGCTGGGATGTGTATTAATTCCCTTATTCCCAGAGAGAATTTCCAGTATTGGAAAGTGTTCAAAGCCAGCTAACATAAGGAACAAGGAGAAAATTATGTACAATACAATAACTTTATTTAAAGAGGGAAGTGCAATAACCTATAACAGTTTTCTAACCTACGGCCCTCAAACATAAGTAAACAAATACACAAATAAGTATAAAAGATAAAAATATATATATATTCACTAAAGGCATTGTATAAAGTAGAATAGCCTATAAAAACGAAATGAATATTATAATTCAACGAAAGGGGGCAAAACTATAAATGCATGAACATAAATATTTAGTTTAAAAGAAAGGTGATTTGAAAATTTGGAAAACAAATATTGACTGATGGACATCAGGTCAGATTTATCATGAAAATCTCATAGCTAAAAGTATTACAGGCTATCACATGATTTTTAATGCACTTTTTGGTATAAATATTAGAAAGGGTAAATTTTCAGATGAATAAAACTGTATGAGGGTTGTAAAATTTGTGGTCTGAAAAATTAATGCATGTCATTTATACCAAATTTCACAGGAGTTCATGTCAAGACTTCTTAATGCTATATATGAAACAAGAAAGGCATAAAAACAAAACAAGTAAACATTTTGACTGTGCTTGCTTTATAAAATCTACATGAAGATCTCTCAACTCATTGGCTAAATTTGTAAGACTTTCACTTTTACAGCACTATTACTTTCATCTGTGAACTTGGAAGCATGTGAAGTAAACTTGCTATTCCCTGAAAATCACCTTCATTTATAAAAGCTCAGCATCTACAAGAACCCAATCATTATTTTGAAACCTAAGATGCCTACTCTGAGCACACCTTGAACAAGCTAATTAAGCTTTAATTTGAACATGCACTATTATTTTGTTAAGTGCATTTGCAAACCAACCTGCATCCCAAGTTACATGAGGTCTAAACTCTTTTCTAGCTAATCAGAAACGAGCAATTTTTTTCATGTCTGTCATTTTCATCACAGTCATGCATCACCGACAGTGATGCATGACCTTTTTACAGTTCCCGGCGCCATATTGAATGTGTAACCGCGCAAACATGATAGCGAGGTTAGTGTTGAGTCGCGTTGCGAGTTCTAGTGAGAGTTTAGTGAAATGTGGTTTTGCACTGTCCTTTTCATCGAGATATTTNTCTTTAAATAAATGGGTCGAACCCAAAAATGAGGGAACTTTGCTTTGTAGTAAGGAGAAATATAGAACTAATATCAGAGCGTGAAAATTCGTGGCAGCCATCACCGGCGCCAGCTCTACGATTGCTGGTATAAGGACCTTGGAAATAGCCTCTTCAAGTGGCTCTAGAAGATCTTGGATATCAGGGAGAGTTCTTAGGAAGTACGTCCAACGATGTTTTAAACCAAACTTGTAGGCGACATAGCTGGCCTGCCGTCGAGCCTGTGCAAATTCAGCAAGCTGAAGAACTTCATTGACTCAGCTAGTTACTTTCTCGTTGACATAGTCCTGCAGATAATCTACCTCGCAATTTCGCCGAGTGTTACCGCGCCGTCACTAATAGAGAGATTTTGTACCGCGTTTACTTGAAACGTAAACGGCAAGAGAGACTACGTGACCTTGTTTTTCCCGCCATTTTTTTACGTTTACCGATTACGCTTTGCCATTTCTACGTGAAAGCAACCTTTTTCGCATTTGCCGTGTACGTAAGATTTTCTTCACTTTTTCTCCCACAGAGTAAAAATTAATTGACGGAAAAAGGGCACCAAGGGCGTTTCAAATCCACCACGACGTGGGCTCGCGCGAAGCTAAAGCAACAGGGTTTACGTTATTTTACGCAAAACGTGAAAGAGCGAGCTGACGTTTGCTGTTTCACGTAAACGCAGTGTTAAATCTCTCTAACATCTCTTCGCCACGCAGCAGATGAAGGAAGAGTTAAGGCCGCGAAAGACTATCATTTAGAACTGATTTGGAACTGCACTTTCAAGAAGAAAATAAAACTACACTGAGAAATATTCTTTCAAGGGGTCCAAATAGAGTGGTTTCTTTTCACTTTCTGTACGTAGTCTAGTGAACTGCTTGCTTGTATCTGAAAATGAATAATCACAAATCAGGCTTCAAGTTGTTGTGACAAATGATTACCGAAAAGCTATATTTGCCAAAGCTTACAGTTCAGAATAATTTCCATAACTTGGTGTGATTTTATTGAAAGTGACAGCCCCTTCGTTCTCTACTAAGTTCTAAATTTTAAAAGGAACGATAAACGCCACACTCAGGCATCTTATCCTGTTTTATTTTCAATTCTCGCACCTATGGCTTGAAATGTTCCGTCGTGCACGAAACTCGGAAAGCCCTGTGCTATTTATGTTTATGTATTAAGGACTACTAATCCATGAACTCTACTCGAAACGTGCTTCGAATATGACTCCGCTTACCCCTGAAAAATGCAGTGAGCTTCGTCGATTGCAATTAGACATAACCTCTCTTTGGAGACAGAAACGCTTCGAGTGAAGCGGNACACTCAGGATAATTTATAAATTTCATGTTAATATAGCATATGCACAAGTTAACCCGCTCTGTAGCTGTCAGTCTTCAAATAGCAGTCCTAATAGTCGGTAGGCGAAAACTGACAAATCCACAAAGTGGTATGGCTTTTTCAGTATTTAGTATTTTCTCTTATTTTCGCTTTAGCATACAGGAGATCTTTACTGAGTCAACGGTAGATGGGCAATAAATCATGCCTATTAATTTAGTTAATTTATTTGATTTATTTTGATTTGATCCTTGATCCTCTATCCTCTATCCTCGATCCTCGATCCTCGATCCTCGATCCTCGATCCTCGATCCACGATCCTTGATCCTCGATCCTTGACCCTCGACCCTCGATCTTCGATCCTCGATCCTCGATCCTTGATCCTTGATCCTTAATCCGGTGATCCAGTGATCCGGTGATCCAATGATCTGGTGATCCGGTGATCCGGCGTCCTTGATCCAGTTTTTCCACGAAAGCCGGTTTCCTGGAAAAACAGGATCGTGGATCGCCGGATCACTGGATCACCGGATCACCGGATTAAGGGTCAGTTCAAAATAAATCAAATAAATTAAATAAATTAATAGGCAGGATTGATTGCTCATCTACGTGACTCAGTCAAGATCTCCCGTATGCTAAAAGCGAAAATAAGACAAAATACTAAATACTGAAAAAGCCAACCGAGTATTAGGACTGCTATTGAAGACTGACAGGTACAGAGCGGGTTTACTTTTGCATGTACTATATTCACATGAAATTTCTAAATTATCCCGAGTGTCGGCAGGTGATTGCGTCTCTGACTTCCGGTTCAATTTCAAAACACGAAGCCGTTTTTGGCGACTGCCAGAATGAACCGCAAATTTTCAGTTGCTTTAACTTCATCTCTTTAAACTTTTAGTCAGAGACGCAATCACCTACCGACGCTCAGGATAATTTAGAAATTTCATGTGAATATAGCATATGCACAAATAAACCCGCTCTGTAGCTCACAGTCTTCAGTAGCAGTCCCATATTCACATGAAATTTCTAAATTATCCTGAGTGTCGGTACAAAAACGCCTTTCTTCTTCTTGGGCTTTTTGAGTTTCAAACTCCGTTCTCTCCCTCCCTAACTCCCTTTCAGCCTGACGCCTTTCTCTCTCCACCTCCCTTTCCAACTCCCTAATTTTTCTGTGTTCCTGATTAATTTTCCTCTGTAGTTCTAGCATCTGCAGCTCACGTTCTTGTAACTGCAATCTCTGCTCAAAGCTTGCGTGTCTCCTGTTGACACCACTTTTTATCTTAAGGTTACTGTGCATCTTCAGGTGTGTCTCGCGTGCAAGCGATGTAGCGCGTCCGGTTTAAACTGTAGACATCTAAACCCCATATCAAATTAAAGCTTATAGGACTGGCTATCAGACTATACCAAAAATTTTGAAAAAAAATTAGTTGTCGAATTTTTCGCGACTTCTAAATGCGAGCGCCAGAATCACCTTTTGAACGTTACATGTTCAAGCGAATTTTGTTTTTCGATTACTGTGTTCCTCCGTTTCCGAGGCCAAAGCGCTAAAAAACGTGTCTGCGATTTGTTATATTCAATTTCAGTGAAAAGTTACTGAAAATTTTTGAAATAGGATTAAAAAGATGTGGAGTGATCGTACAAAAATCGCTCTTGAAAAAAAGGTCTTTGGAAATAAAAAATTCGGAGACACATTTTGTTGTTTATATGTAAAACTAGCCACTGTCAAGATTTGAGAGCAATCGAAAAAATTCTCTTTGACTTGTAGCTCTTAAAAAGTGATACGGGCGCTCGCAATTAGAAGTCGCGAAAAATTCGACAATTAATTTTTTTTCAAAATTTTTGGTATAGTCTGATAGCCAATCCTATAAGCTTTAATTTGATATGGGGTTTAGATGTCTACAGTTTAAACCGGACGCGCTACATCGCTTGCACGCGAGACACGCCTGAAGGCGCACGGTAATCTTAATAATACTCTTTTAAATATAGTTGGCGCATTCTAGTTTTAAACTATTACGTTCTAGTAAACTCTTGTTAAGTAATTTAGGTAAAAAACTTAGCAATTTAGTTTTATCTTATTATTGTAATTGGGGTAAATAATTTAGTTTATTGTTGTTGTCTTATTTATTTATTTATTTTTTTTTTTTGCTGTTTGTAATTGTTAATTACTATATTTTTCTTACTTAGAGTAATAAATATTTCTTAGCCTACGTTTAGTTGTGTTGTGGCGTGTCTTCTCGGGCTTGTTAATGTTTCGTGTTTTGTTTATGTTGGAGGGCGCCCACCTTTGTGGCGCGGATTCGTCACATATTTTTGGTATAG